TGTGTGTGTTAATGAAAGTTGACAGAGAAGTTGGCTTTTCATTCATTCATTGTTGCATAATTTCCTCCCTCCCCTAGTCCACTGTGCTATGCACCTCTTATTCTGGATGGCTGTCACACAAATAATGCCTAATCATATTCCTTCCATCTTCTTTTGATGCTTCCTGGATTGTTCAACAATTTGCTCTTCAGTTCCTTCAGCTTAAGAAATGCATTCTTCCTGGATAAGATTCTTGACATCCTCCTACACTCATCTGGCCTTCACTCACTAGTGTTCAAAGCCTCAAGCTTGTTCCTGGAATGGATTTTTAATTCAGATGTGACAGACTCAAGGTCAAATTTTGGTTCCTGTGGATTTGATTTCATTTTCCTTAGGGTCAATTTGAACTTGCATATGAGTTGTTGATCAGCACCTGGCCTCGTTTCCATAGCTGATAATGAGCTTCTCCAATGGTTCTTTCCATGGATGTAGTCCATCTAATTCCTGTGCAGGCAGTCAGGTGAGGTCCATGTGTATAATCAGCATTTATGTTTCTTATAAAAGGTATTTGCAATTAATAAGTCATTGACTGTGTAAAATTCTATCATTTTATCTGCAGCCTCATTTCTTGTCACCAAGCCCATGTTTTCTGACTACTGATCCTTCTTCTCTATTCCCAACTTTCACATTCCATCCACCCATTAGTGTTCATTACCTATTTCCAGTTGCACCACTACTACCAACTCTAAACTATATCCTCACCTTTTAGCCCAGTCCCTTCAACTTTTCTTGCCTGGATGGCTGCACTCAGCTTTCTACTATTCCTCACTTTGCCCCAGCTCTGATCCAATGCTTTCATAAGTCTAATTCTTACCATGGCTTCTCCGCCCCTACTTAAAAAACCTTTAAGAGACTCCCATAAATTCCTAGAGAAAATACAGATTCTTCAACACGGGCAAAAGGCCCTGAGATTCCAGCTTTCCCCCCTCTCTACCTCTGGATTCCCAGTCTCAACTCCAGCTGCCTGGAAACCTTTAGTCTTAGAGCATAGAGGTAAGTCGCTCATTTGCCATCTGACTTCACCTGGGCAATTCCTTGCTTTGCCTGGGAAATTTAACCCAGAAGGCCTTTTCATCAGGCAATCTTTCCTGCTCACCTTCTGTTCTCTCTGTTATCACATCAAAGATGACTTAAGCAATACAGATGATGTGTCATTTTTCATACTAAGTTCAGAAGGAGCACAGCACCTGGGGTGTAAATGCAATGGCCTCATCAAGTTCTGTCTATCTCTTGCTCAGTCATTATTTAGTGTTTAACCTTCAGGTCTGTTGATACACTTGGGTCAAGAAGGGTGGCAAATGTCTGTTTTTCAATGGTGAATCTCCTTTTCTGAAGTGACCAGAAGCTATCTAGAGCTATTGTGAGTGTTGGATGAGTACTATGAGGGATCAAGGTAGATGATAACCCTTGGGTCGTGGTCAAAGTAGCACCATATAGAAACAACACTGATTTTCCTGGTTTGCTTGTGATGACTCGACTTTAAAAGCAAGATTAGCAAAAGGCGCTCCCACGTGCCTTGAGTTATGTCCAAACTATTTGTGAAACGCACAGAATGTGAAGACTCAGAGTTTTCCAAGCAGGCTCCCACTCAAATGTTTACATTCTAATCTGCTCATTTCAAAAGAATAATAAAAATAAATGGACGTTTTCTGGTTTTGTGGCAGAGAAGAGAAAGGCATACTTGCCTTCTCATGTTGGGTGAGATGGGGGCTCCAAGGTGCTGAGATCTGGGGCAGAGTCTGAGTGCTAGACCCCAGAGGCCAAGCCATGTGGGCCTGGGGCAAACCCTCGAGCACCCTGTCACATTCCTTTATCTAATGATCCCTGGCAAGCCTCCAGGGCCCACTCAGGCCCACAGCCCCTTCCTCCTTGCTGTACTCACCCTGAAGTATCTTTGTCCTTCATTCTCTTCCTCCTAGATCCTAAGTAACCAAGAGGAATGGTTCAAAGCAGAGCTTGGGAGCCAAGAAGGCTACGTGCCCAAGAATTTTATAGATATCCAATTTCCCGAGTAAGTATTCCCAGCCTGCTGCCATGGGCCTGCCCACACACACTCCCTTTCCTTTTTTTAGGTAGTCGCTAAAATTATCAGTGCCTACACAAGAGACTGTCAAAAAGGATTGCTTCCAGAGAGGGACACCACGCAGCTGAAGGCCCGGGTGGGGGATTAGATTCCATTGCTTCCTCCTTTGAAATGTGTACCATGTGTGGGTATTGCCTACTTTAAAGTTTTATAAAATGAGTTGATGCAGTGAAATCATCTAAGACGGTTATAATCACAGAGCTTCCAAGAATTCTGGTAGAGGCCCTGTTGGTCGCTCCTTCAAACTTTCTCTGTTAACCTCCAATTCTACCTTCTGCCCTATTCAGAGGTCCCAGAAAGCTGGGGCTCTCAGGGAGCACGAGGACGCTCCCTGCTGTCCATAGACTAATTGCCCACAAGTGAACCCCATCAGGGTGGGGAAAGGGGAAACTCCCTTATGAAAGAGGAAATGAAGACTTGAGATTGGGTCTTGTTTGTCTCAAGAACTGACCACAAGAGTTAGATACCAATCTGACCTCCTCTCAGAACCAATATCTAGACAAAAGACTAAACATGTTTGCTAGAAAACCAAAATGACACTGGTGTCTCCCATTTGTTCATTCATTCGCTGCTGTAACGCCATTCTGAGCGAGCCACTTGACTTTGACCAGTACTGACCAGTGACTTTGATGAGCTCTCGAGGCTGCCTGGCTCCTCTCCTGCTCTCCTAGATGACCAGTTTTTGCCTTGTCTTTGTTCCTCAAACTTCCATCTTCTCCTCACTTAGCTGATGGCCTTGCCCCCAAGTTCATGGGGACGAAGGAAGCCACCAAAAGAGAAGATCCTCCCCTATCCCCAGTCCTCCCACCTCATGCAAGTACACTCAGACACCCCACCTTTCCTGCAACTGGACAAGCTCTGTTGCCCTCGGAAACTGTTCTTATCCTCCCACCCCCCTTCTCCCTGCCCACCCCATTCTTTCTTGAGTCCTACAATTCCATCAGAACCCTCTGACCACAGTCAAGGTCACCGTAAACTGCAACTCCAGCGGTCAGCTCCTGGCCATCATCTCAGCATGGCTCCCTCCCTGGTGCCACACTTTCTGCATCCAGTTTCTGGGACACTGGCTCTCCTCCCACCACCCTGGCCACACCTCCTCTGTAGCCGTAGCTGGTTCCTTCTCTTCTCCCCCCTCTCCTTTACGTTTAGAAGATTGCTCCTTAGTGAGGCTTTCCCTGTTGTTGTATTTTAAATTCCTCCCTCGCCCTCTTTCCTTGTCCCTCCTCTTTGTTCTCTCCAAAATACCTGTTGTCTTCTGAGTTACTATTTATTCTAAATGTTTTGTTGTTCAGTTTCTATTTCTCCCCACGAGGGCTTGGGGTCTTGTCTGTTTTGCCCACCACTGTGCTCCTGCTGTCCCGAGAAGAAGATTCAGCACATAATAAATGCTGCTGTTAGCTGCTATTGGGTTGTGCCAGATGCATGGGAACCTTATGAACAAATGGAACAAAACCCTGCCAGGTCCTGCATAAGCCTCACTATTGCCATGGGCTTAAGTCCATTGTTGCTGCTCCTGGGCCAGCCTATTTCATCGAGTCTCCTCTGCCCTCATTGGCCTTCTATTTGAACAGACGTAATGTTCTCTTGTGACATTGACCCCTTAAATGTCTAAAGAATCCACAATTAACATGGAAGCAGCAAACCATCAAATGACACATTGCAATGGACAAATCTGTGCACATCTCGGGAGAAGTCACTTGGCAAATTCCAGCTGGAAGATGATGTCTATTTGTTGAGTGAGCAATCCTCCCAACTGCCTGCTGTACCTTCCATGATGCTGCCTTTGAGATATAGCTGCTGTGGCCCAGATACCAACCCTTCTTCTCCCTTCCTGCTATAGCCTACCTAAGGCAGTGATGGCCTAGTGGTAAGAAGCTGTGCTGCAATCCCAAAGGCACACAGTTCCAATCCACCAGCTGCTCCATGGGAGAATGAAGGACCGTCTCCTTCTATGTGATTTACAGCCTGTGAAAACTCGCTAGAGGGTTGACTATGAGACCACAGCCACAAGGCAGTGATGGGGTGGCCACTTTGGTGCCACGCAGGGTTGTGTGACAAATACTCTGGCCAGATCTCCAGCCAGATGACCCACCATAAACCCTTTTTCCAGCCCCATGGAACACAACCAGCCTCTGCCCACAGCCGTAGGTCTGGGCTAACTGTGTCCCTACTGTCAGCCTGTCCTAACTAACTTCAGGTTTCAGGAATTGCACACAAAGGAATCCAAAGCAGCGACCTATCAGATATTTGTCTTAGAGCAGTTCACATGCTGGTCTCCTGGGGGCAGCAATTAGAGCACCCTACACACACACACACACACACACACACACACACACACACACACAACTCCGTGACACACCGTGACATTTCACGGTGGTCAGCTGGACACTACTTTCACTTTTCCATGGCTGGCAGAAGCTTCCAGCCACCGGCCTCAGGCTAGAGCCCCTGCCTGCCTGGATCTTGAGAGTGTCTGGGCTTGTTCAAGCCTGTCATAGCATGAGCACAGCACATTCAGGGTTTGCTACCCTGACCCACCCCTGAAAGATCAGTGTCTCCCCAGTTGCTTCTTTTCCAGCTTATGTTTGGGGAGGGCTGAGGAGCCAGCTGTGCAGACGCTGCTGTCTGGCTATTGTGTTGTTGTATTCCCATAGAGTCAAAGCTGACCCATAGCTGACCCTCCCTCCAGGGGGGTTTCAAAGGCAATTAATTGCATGGGAGGAAATTGTTAATCTTTTTCCCACAGAGCAGCCGCTGGTTGATCCGAACCTCGTGCCTTTGGTTTGGCAGCACAACTCCTTACCACTAAGCCACCCCAGCACTCTCTGGCTGTTGTGGGGGTGGGGCAGGGGCGGGGCAGGGAGGCGGGGATGAAATTGGGGGGTGGAGGGAAAGGCAACCACCAACCAATGTGTTGCAGTCAAATTGATTCTGCCCCACAGCGCCCCTGTGTGTTACAGAGCAGAACTGTGCCCCGGCGAGTTTTGAAAGCTTTCAACTTCATGGAAGCGGATTGCCAGCACTTTCTTCTGTGGTGCTGCTGTTCACGTCATCTAGCTTTAGTTAGTAGCTGAGAGCAGACAAGTTATACTTCCCAGACATGCTTGTTTCCGTGTTCAGGTCTCCCTAAGGGCCATGAAGCCTCGGCTGAGCATGCTGACCAGAGACCCTGGGCTCCACCCGGCTGGGAGCTTGAGCCCTGGATGTAAGTCTTCGTCACTCCGGGAGGAGTCTCAGCCAGCCGAGGTCTCACTCTGGGAGGACCTGCGGGCTGACCCAGGACCCTGACTAAGGCGGCCCTTCTCTCTCTCCCTGTTGCCAGCTGGTGGATGCTTCCCAGGGAGACACTGTCCCATCCTAGTGCGGTGGCACTTTCCCATGACCTGAGTTTTCCAAACTGGAGCAAGATTTTTTTTTTTCTGGAGAAAAGTAAGAAAGAACAAGAGTGTTAATCCAGGGACAGTCTTTGCCTGGACCGGCCTAGAGGATTTGCTCTGGTGCAGAGGCACCTGGCCCCCTTTGTCCCTTGTCTCTTTTCTGAACAGCCTCTCCCTTTGAGGATCTCTTCCTCTTGGAGCCTTGGTAGCTTAGTGTGTATCTTTTCAGGCTGAGAGCTGAAAAGTTAGCAGTTCAAATCCACTAAGAGTTCTTGAAGAGAAAGATGGACAATCTCCTCCCAGGAAGATTGCAACACTGGAAACTCAATGAAGGGGTCTCTATGCATTAGAATCAGCCCACAGAAGTAAATTTGGGTTTGGGGAAGTCCCCATGAATAGAAGGAGTGGCATAAAGGCCAAGCACCTGGCTGAAAGGTCGGCGATTCAAACTCACCAGCTCCTCTGCAGGAGAAAGATGTGGCTGCCTCTTCTCATTAAGATCGACAGCCTGGTAAATCCTGTGGGCAGTTCTCCTCTGTCAGCTGGGGTCACTAAGAGTCAAAATCCACAGGACAATTCACAGCACCAACCACCGCATCACTCATCCAGGGGCATGAGTGGCACAAATAGATGAGCTCCTGACTATTAACCACAAGACTGAGGGTTCAATCTACCCCAAGGCTTCTCGGCAGACAGGCTTGATGATCTGAAAGCACAGCAGCCACAAAAGCACAGTCTGCTCTGACCCGCTGGGGAGGCCGTGAGTCAAATTCGACTCCACAGCAGCTGCGCTGGGGCTTGTTGTTTGTTTGTTTGTTTGTTTTTTGATCACGTGTACATCTCACCGAGGTCCCCTTGTCTCGTCCCTCACAGATGGTTTCACGAAGGCCTCTCTAGACATCAAGCAGAGAACTTGCTCATGGGCAAGGAGGTGGGGTTCTTCATCATCCGCGCCAGCCAGAGCTCCCCGGGAGACTTCTCCATCTCTGTCAGGTACCCGCCCTCATCCAGTTCCCGGATGATCTTCCTCCGCCTGCAGCTGCCCAGACCACAGAAGTCAGGAGTTCAAATGACTGAGGGACCAGGGACGCAGGAGGCCCCGAGACTAGGCATCTTATCAACTGTGATGCTTCTCTTCTCATGACACGTGGACATGACCTTGGTTCATGTTCACGGTTCTTTATCTGCCGTCCCCTCCCCCTCCAGCCCTGGTTCTTCTAGAAAGATGGGGCTTGTCTCCAGTTCACGCTGTGCCTTTGATCGCAGGTGCTCAGTGAGGATTTGTGGAAGGACTCCCAGCACTAGTCATTCCTCTCGAGGTTTAAATCTTCACCTCGTCTTTAATATTTAAGGAGATCTGGGGGTGCAGAGCATTACAAGTTGGGCTACTACACCAAAAGGTCAACAATTCAAATCTGCCAGCCACTCCTTGAGGGAAAGAGGAAGCCTTTTCCTTCCGAAAAGATTCACAGCCTCAGAGATCCAAAGGAGAGCTGCCATCACTCAGAACCAATGCAGTGGATTTGGGATTTTGGAGCAGAGAGGGGAGGACGGGGTGGAAAGGCTGTAATGGGAAATCCTATGAAGGTGCAGGAAAATGGAAGAAGTGACTGAGGCTGGCCATCAATGTGACACAGCCCCAGGTAGGAACAACCTCTGCATGTGGTCGGCACAGTGGCGATTAGAAGCCACCTGCCAGACTTGGTGACCACATTTGAGAGCACAGGAAGTAATGCTGACAGCGGCACAGCAGAGTACATGACAGGCTGCGCGGTACGCTGTCAGGTTAATTGACGGAAACTGCCGGTCCGGCTGCTTCCACACTTTGAAAGGCAGGCATGCAACCTCATCACTTTCAGTCAATCACTCTAATCTTGGGTGACAAGTGATAAACTGGGGTGACTCTACTTTTTTAGAGAGAGTGGATATTTCAAAAAACAGATAGGCATGGAAACATTTGTATGTACTGATGGAGGTTGCTGTGTCAGAATTAGTGGGACTGGCTCAGGACAGGGAAGGGTTCAGAGCTGCTGTACATAGGGTTGCTATGCATCGCAGGCGACTCAGCCCTTAACATTCTATGATAGGTTTAGAAGCAGGAGTTGCATCCACTTCCTAAACAACTTGCCTCTGGAAACTCTATGAACTTTGAGAAATGTCAATAGATGTAGAGGGGTTTCAGGCCTTTGGTTTATAGGGTCACTATGAGTCATGCTCAACTCGAAGGCAACCAACAACAACATATTCCCAGGTGGCATAAATGGTTAAGCACATAATGATGTACCCAAAAGCTGGTTGTTTGACCTCACCCAGAGGTGTTGCCAAAGAAAGTCCTGGCAATCTACGCCCAAAATGTCACAGTTGAAACCTCAATGGAACACACTGCTACTCCATGCACCCCAAGTCACCACGAGTTAGAAATGACTCAATGGCAAGTGGGAGCTCTGATGGCCTAGTGCTAAGGAGATGTGCTGCAAACCCAAAGGTGGGTGGTTCAAATCCACCAGCCGCTCTGTGGGAGAAGGATGGACATTCTCCTCTGATACAATTTACAGTCTCTGAAAACCTGCAGGAGGGTCAGCTATGAGTTGGTCCTGACTCGATGTCTGTAAGGGAGACTGGCTACTAGTTTGGGGCTGTGTTTGGTTTCGTGGGTGTTTGGGATGTTTTTTGTTTTGTTTTGTTTTGTTTTTCTTTCTGGTGCCTTTAAGATGCTTAAAAAGAGCTTGGTCTTTTTAGCATTGCCCTGACAATGTTGCTTAGATGCTTAATTATCCTTCACTAAAACATTCATTTTCACACCCTGGGCAATGAGAAGCTGTAGAACAGCCTAATATTGACAGATCACAAATCTTAAACTTGTTAGGTCATCGCAGGTGAAATGTTGCTTTAGTAAGAAATGTTCCACACCAAGCCTGTTTCTTCCAGGTTCCGATTACCGAGCTGACTGGTAATGTGTTAGCTCGAGGGCTCCCCTGGGTCCTTTGGTTTGCGTGACTTTAGCTTCAGCTTTAACTCGGCTAGGAAGGCCGGTTCACATTTTCATGATTAAAGTGAACTCTCCCCAACAGCCGACTTTGATTTCTGCCAAAACCTTCCCCAGCTGTTGAAGCAAGGCAACTTCTTTTTACGGCAATTATTAGCATAACCATCACTACATCCTCTACAGAAATGTAGCATAATGTATTCCAAGGCAAATTCCTTTTTCTTTATTTATACATCTGTGAGCACAGATAATTGAGAGCTAATTGTAGCCCCATCATTCAGCATTTGTTTGGTGCATGAACAATCGGCGTGCACGTCTGGAGCCCTGAGTTACACCTTCTCCTCTCTGTAGTTGAGACAGCGCTCGGGCCATTCTCTCTGCAGAGGCTCAGAGTCCAGCTGCAAGCGGATGCTCATTTCTGCCTGATGTTCTTAGGAGGCTAGGAGGACTCATGCTGTGTGCACTTGAGTTCTTTGGCTAACAGGCAGGGGGTGAGTAATTATGATATCATGAGATCATTTTCTCCTCCTCTCCCAGATGTGAGGAGTAATGAGCATGATCTAAGCCAAAGAGTCTTAGCGTGAAGAAGCCAGAATTCACAGAGACAACAGCACAGCGGTGGCGGCGTGTCCATCTCTTCCCTGAAGCGGTCAAACATGAGGCTGCTACGCCCCTTAGACCAGACTGTGCACATGAGACAGAAAGTGGGAATTTCTGTTCCCTTCTGAGCTAATAAAAGTTGACATTATCACCCTCAAGGCAGAACCAACTCAGAGCTCACCCTTCGTTGGGTTCCAGAGGCTATAAATCGCATGGGAGGAAACTGCTCATCTTTCTCTCAAAGAGCTTTAAATGGGTTTGAATTGCAGAGCAACCCCTACAGCCTACACGACCACTAAATCCATCCCTAAGAAGCCTTCACTCATTTTCCAAAATAGCTTTATTCTCCAAGACTCCTTAAACTTGTATTAGAAGAAATACAGCCAGAGTATTTCTTGGAAGCAAGACTGTGAAGACTTTGTCTTAAGAACTTTGAGCAACTTACCAGGCGAGGGCAGTCCCTACAGAAAGACGTCATGCTGGGTCGGTGGAAAAGAAGAAGACTCTCAAGGAGATGGGTTAACAAGGTGGCTGCAGCTATGAGCACAAACACAGCGGAGGTGACGAGGCTGGAGACAGGTGGGCAGTGTCCCAGCCCTGGGTCCCTGTGAGTTGGAGCTAACTCCAGGACACCTAACAATAACAACATCCCTCAAACTCCTGGCTTTTCTAGTGGGCCAGGAAGTTGGTGTCATTGATGCCGTTCATTTTAAGATAGAAACATGTTTCTGTCAGAAAATAAATGTTATGTCCCAAAGAGAATGACCTGGGAGCCTTACCTGGAGAAAGAGTGAAGCTAATAATAAAAGGCCAGTCCTTCCGCTCCTGCCTTGTGGTTAGAATCCAGTTTGTCCAGCGCTGCAATGTGTCCATCGCTGGTGAGTCCAGACTGACATGAGAAGGTGCTGGCCTGAAAGAAAGATACACAGTTGTCGTCTCGTTGATTCTGACTCTTGCTGATCCTACGTGTGTCAGAGTAGAACTGTACTCCACAGCTGTTGCATCAGAGAGCTGGACAATGACTAGGGAGGACAGAAAGAGTATTGATGCCTTTGAGCTGTGGTGCTAGAAAATAGTTTTAAATGTACCCTGGACTGCCGAGAAAACAAACAGATTCATCCTGGAGAGGGTTAAACCAGGCTGCTCCTTGGAGGCAAGGATTCTGAAGCTTCATCTGACATACTTTGGACATGTTGCAAAGACAAACCAGTCCTTGGAGAGACACATCATGCTTTGGGTGGGGGGGGAAAGACAGTGTAAGAGAAGAAGACCCTCAATGAGATGGATTGATTCAGTGACTGGGGTAATGGGGGCCAGTGTGTCAGAGACAATAAGATTGTCACAGGATAGAGCAGGGTTTAGGGCTGTTGTACATAGGGTCACAGGCAACTCGATGGCATATAACAACAGATGCCAGCCCTTTCTTTGGATATGCCTCTGGATGGGCTTGAACCTTTAATCTTTAGATTAACAACGAAGTGCACCACCCCAGGATCCTTAAAGAAGTTAGGATGTTTAGATGGTGCTGCAGGCCAAGCCAACTAGACTGTTACCAGATACCTGGGGTTTCTGCATCGCTCACTGTGATGTCCACCAAGGGTCTTCACTTCCTGCGCCTCAGTGTTCTTGGCTGTACAATGGAGAAGTTCAGATAAACAACCTCCAAGATCTTTTTCCAACTATAAAACATCCATACAATGGTTTTCTAAATATTTCTATAGTAACTGGAGTTTCCCCCCAAAAGTGAAAAATACTTTGTAACTTTATGCCAAAGATAAACCCAACCCAACAGAGCCCCCTTACCAAGGACAGAGTGATACATTGCTCAGGGAAGAGAGTACTTTCTCAACAAATAACTAAAACTACTGCTGTGGGGTAGATTCCAGCCCACGGTCACACTCCTGGCAGCCCTATAGGACCAAGTGGAGCTGCCCTCCCGAGTCTCCCAGGCTGAAATAGTCACAGAAACTAACGGCCACCAGTTTCTCCCACAGAGCGAGCCTTTCCAGCCAGCAGCAGAGCGATCAATCACTGCACCATCAGGATACAGTCTCAGCAGTTAGCGCTGGGTTGGGGGCCTCTGGTGGCTTTGTCCGTAGGGAGTTGCACTACTAGCCCAAAGACCAAGCCTCTCTGCGGGTTCAAATCTAACAGCCACTCCAAGGGATGAAGACACTATCCCTTCCCGTGAGACTTACAGCCTCACAAAGCCACTGGAGGGTCAACCCACCCATCTGTTCCGACCCAGTGGTAGAGAGGGAGAGAAAGTCCGAGGTGATGGGCTGCTTCAGGGAGATGACTCAAAGGATTTCTGAGAACAGAAAGGTTGCAGGACTTTGAGAAGCCTTCTGAGGTTTGATGGAGTCTTTAGCCTAACACAGGATTCATCAAAAGAGATGCGGCCACACTTAAAATTTACTTTGTGAAAAAGGTCTTTGCCCTCCTTAGGCCTTAACGCTAAAAAAAATCAAATTCAGCCATCAAATTGGCTCTGACTTAAAAGAACCCATCGTTACAGGGCAGAACTGCTTCATAGGATCTCGTGTAATCTTTATGGAGGTGGAACACCAGGCATTTCTTCTGCAGCACTTTTTTTAAAAAAATAAATTCTTTTTTTCTTTTATACTGGTTTACTTACATGTTGTTGTTGTTGTTATGTGCCGTCGAGTCGCTTGCAACTCATAGCGACCCTATGCACAACAGCCCTAAACTCTGCTCTGTCCTGTGCCAATCGCACTATCTCTGACACTCCCATCCTGATTATCCCAGTCACTGAATCAATCCACCTCATAGAGGGCCTTCCCCTCCTGCACTGTCCCTCCACCCTCCCAAGCATGATGTCCTTCTCCAAGGACCGGTCTCTCCTCACATGTCCAAAATATGTTAGACGGAGCCTCAGAATCCTTGCCTCCAAGGAGCCACCCGGTTTAACCCTTTCCAGGACAAATCTGTTTGTTTTCCTAGCAGTCCATGGTATTCTCAATACCATATATACATAGTTCATCTATATTGTTTTTCACACTGGGTCTTTCCCATGTCTTTTACCCATCCCTCCCTCCACCCATCAGCTGATGGTATAGTCCACCTTTCTTCATCCGCCTGGCACTGGAGCTTTTTTCCCTGTAAGAAAGTAGGTTTATAGCCCTGTTGTTGTTGTTGTTATGTGCCATTAAGTCGCCTATGAGTCATAGCGACTTTGAGCCCTGCCCTGTCTTAAGTGAATCTCACTGACACCAACACACTTGCCCCCATAAACCCAGTTTCTGTGTCAATCCATCTCATCCGGGGTCTTCCTCTCCTTCAGTCCCTCCATTCCCCCGCTTATTCTGAAAGCAAGATGAGATTATAGCCCGAGGCAGGCTCGTATTGCCTTCTGCTGATGTAAGAAAATACCCACTAGAGTAGCCTAAAGGAGCCCTTGAGGAAGCAGCAGTTAAACACTCGGCTGCTGATCAAAAGGTTGGTGGTTCAAATACTCCAGCTGCGCTTTGGGGACGGGGGAAAGGGGGAAGATGTGACGGTCTATTCCTATAAGGATTATAGGCTTGGAAGCCCCATGGGGCAGTTTTACTCTGGAGTTGCTAGAGTTGTGCTGTCAACCTAAGAGCAGGCAGTTCAAATCCACCAGCTGCTCCATGGGATGAAGATAGGCAGTTTCCTCCCGTGAGATTTACAGCTTCTGAAAACCAGCTGTGAGTCCTTTCCAGCTCAACAAAGCTTAACAACTTTGGGTCGTTAATGAGTAACAATTGACTCAACAGCTACATATTTTATATCTTTGGTTTTTATTTTGGATAGCCAAATAAGGAGTCTGTTGGCACAGATTAAGCGCTGTAAGTAAAGGGTCATCAGTTTAAACCTACCAGTCACTGCGCTAAGAAAGATGGGACCATCAGCTTCCACAAACATCATAGACTTGTTAACCCTATGGGCGGTTCTTGTCCTACTCATCCCACAGCAGGGAGCACTGGTGTTACAGTGGTTTCGTTCCCGCCTGCTAACAGGAAGGTTGGTGGTTCAGACCCACAAGGCACTCCATGGAAGGAAGACTTGGCTGTCTGTCGCCATAACTAAGATTTACAGCCTTCAGGAACTGATGGTGCAGTTCTGCTCTGCCCGCTCGGTTGCTCTGAGTTTGTCACCTTAATGGCAGTAGAGCTGGTTGGTCCCATAGAGTAGTAGTTATGGGTCAGTGGCCACAGAGAAGCCCAGGGCAGCCCACCCCAGTGACAGGTGGTCTCTACCTTCCCTGCCCCGATGCTCAAAGCCCCAGGGATGGACCTGCTCCCTGTGCATGGTTCTATTTGGGTTTGCTTGCTCTCCAGGCATGAGGACGACGTCCAGCACTTCAAGGTCATGCGAGACAGCAAGGGCAACTACTTCCTGTGGACAGAGAAGTTCCCGTCCCTTAACAAGCTGGTGGACTTCTACAGGACGACGTCCATCTCCAAGCAGAAACAGATCTTCTTGAGGGACAGAAGCCGAGAGGATCAGGTAAGCTGGTGGATGCAGCCACCCACATTGGACAGGCCCGAGTGAGCCGTCGAGAAGGTGCACCTGAGGGGAAGGTGCTCGGGGTATTCTGAGAAGCGGGCGTCAGGTCTCAGATTAAATACTAGCTCCACATCCCAAGCTGTGGGACTCCAGAGAGCGCTTTGATCCTCAGTCTCTTCATGCATCACAACGAGTTACTATAATCATGGTGGTGCTAGTGATTGCCCCTCACAGGTGGTTGTGGAGCTTAGAGAAGAGTGTCTCCCCTCCCCCCGCCCCTCCTGATTGTGCGGCGAGCGCTCAATGAGCATCAGCTCAGCGTGGCTGCTGTTGATTTGTGAAAGAGCCCTGGTGGGAAACAGGCTAAGCTCTCAACTGCTGACAGCCAGTTCGAGCTCGCCAGCAGTGGCTCTGAGAAGAAGAGAGACCTGACAATCTACTTTCGGAAAGATTAAGCCGAGCCCACTGCCCTGAAGTCCACCATGTCTCCCAGGGACTCTGCTGGACAGAAGAGAGCTGCCCTTCGGGTTTCCGGGGCTGACTGAAGCATGTGCCTCCCATAGAGCCGCCTGTGAGTTTGAACCTCTGACCTATCAGTTTACAGCCCACTGGCAAATCCACTGCACCACTAGGGCTCCTTCCTATAAGGCCAGTTCTACTCTGTCCTTCAGAGAGCTCTGGTGGCTTAGTGGTAAGGAATTGCACTGCCCATGCAAAGGTACATGGTTCGAATGCACCAGCTGCTCTTCAGGAGAAGGGTGGGCAATCTCCTCTCATACGATTACTTACTGCCTCTGAAAACCTCCTCTGGAGGGTCAGCCACGGTCAGTTCTGACTGCCCGGTATGCAACAACAACAACTCTGTCCCACAGGTCACTGGGAATTGGAATTGCTATGGAGACACACAACAACAACAGTATTACTTTGTGGTAGAGTTTTCAGTCTGGGTTCATGGATGAACAAAGTGAGGGCATGCGAACAAGAGAGCTTTTACAAGCATGACAGCCTTTGGTGACAGGGATGAGGTGGGGGCCATTGGAGGAGAATATCAGACAGAATTCTTGCTCTGGGAACTCTCTAGAGCACTGTCTTTAGAAAAGACGTGTAGTTTTGTACATCACACAGACCTGGCTTTGAATCCTGGTTTCATCTCTGACTCTTTGTATTCCCGAGCCAAATTAGAAAATCCTTATGAGTCAGTTTTCTCCTCTGTAGAATGAGGATTATGGCAAACCCACCTTCACTGGGCTGTTGTGAGGATTAAGGGTCAGCCATGCTCCACATGCTGTCTGTTGGGTGAGTTGTCATCAGAACCTGGCAAGGTGGCCTTCCTCTCATGCTGTTCAACAGTGGAACAGGGCTGCCCACACCTCCATCAGCGCCAGGACTGCTTGCACAACAGACTCTTTGACCTTTGGGTTTTCACTGGCAATCTGGGGAAGGAGATTACCAGAACACTCTTCTTAGTCCACCTCAGTCTGTCGTCTTCTCTGAAACCTATTCAGAATCATCTCTCTCCTTGCTGTCCACTCAGAACCAACTCATGACCTGCCAGTGGGTTTTCAGAGGCTGTAGTGCCCACAGGGGAAGAGGGCCCGGTTTCCCCCCACTCCCCGACAGATGGGTGAATGACACTTGAGGTACAGTGGCCAAGAATCAGCCTTAGGGCTCCCAAACAGATGGAAGACTTGTATCACCAAACCACTAGTGTCCCTGGTTACAGAAGGCATCAAGAAAATGTTAATTTGCCTTCCCTAAGTACACACATGCACACGCACACATGAATATGCTTGACATTTTCTAAGTAAATAACATACCTTGCCAGGAACAAGGCCACTCTGGTGGCCTCATCCTCAGGGAGGCTGTCCAAATCCACAAGCCAAATCCAAGGGCGAAAGACGGTGAGTCTCCTCTCGGGCCACTCACAGCCTCAGGAACCCAGTGGAAGCTTAGCTGTCAGACCTGGTTTCAACCAGACAGCAACAAATTGGTAAGCTGAACCCAAAACAGGTTCTGTGAAAAGACATTGATGGAGACTTTTCAAGCAGCTTGTGTTTTGGGGAAACAAAGAGTCCCTCCCATATAGGCAATTTAGTGGCTCGAAGCCTGAGAAAATTCCAACCAGAGGAGAAATGGGTGTTCCCACCAGGTGTTCTGAAAGAGAAACAAAGGTTATCCAGGGCCTTGGGAGTTGTTTTAACCAGGAAACGGATGGTGGGATTCATTTACTAGGGTGTGCACGCAGAGATATAAAAGCACCGTAACATGACCACATCAAACTGGATTAAATGACTTCATATTTGTAAAGCGCTCAGGACGGTGCCCAGTACACACTAGGCCGGAAGCCCTGTGTAAGTGTTTGTTTGTTAAATAAAAATAACAAGAAAGCATCTCAGATTCATAAGGTTGTTAGAGCGTTAAGCAGAGAGGCCTTGTTCCTTTCCCAGCATGCCCAGCGGCAGGCTTGGTTTCCATGGTGCTGTGAGGATGTTGCCGTGTGGGTCTCTATCACCAGGCTATAAATGACGGTTCAGAATCAGGCCAAGTCAATAGCAGAGCTTATCTGGAAGGTAGGATGTCCAGCAGCATGGCAACACGCGATAAGAAGGGGTGGCATTGTGGCAGTAAAATAGGATATTCAAGCCTGGTTACACAGAGAAAACAAGCCCATCAGCAAAGAACTAAATGGGCATCGGGTGGATGGTGATGGTCTGTGAGCCTGAACTGCTGACACTGGGAGAAGCTGAGAAAGAAGAGGCCACTTTTGAAACCGTGAGGGTCTGACCTGTCCATTCTCTTTCCGCCTCCTTCCACCCCCATCAGCTGTTCAATGGTGAGCAAACTGGGGGAACGGCTGCCAGAAAATGGGGGTAAACCCGCAAGATGCAGGGGAATTGGAGTTCAATCCTCTTCATTCTTTCTCCCAGAGTCGCCGGGGCAACAGCCTGGACCGGAGGCCCCAGGGAGGGCCACCCATCAGTGGTACTGTGGGGGAAGAAATCCGGCCGGTGATGAGCCGCAAGCTGTCAGATCACCCAGCCACCCTGCCTGCCCAGTACCACCAGTCACCTCCCCATTATCCCACTGCCACGCAGCCACCACAGCCACGGTACCTGCCGCATCACCATCTCCACCAGGTAACTCCAGAGAGGAAGTGGAGCGCTGTGGGGTGGGGAGGAGGACCTGCCCTCCACGCTGGCCCAGGCCATTGAGTCCTCAACGCCACTCAGTATTTGTAAACGTGCCTGAAAGGTGGAAGGAGCTGCTCCAGCAGTGAGAACCCCGTGCCTGGCTTCATGGGGTTCTGGTCACTTTCAGCATCCACAAAGAACACTCACCCACCCTTTACACCACACAAACCTGGAAACCGCTCTTGGCAAAGAAAATCCGTGAACTCAGTGGTTGTCTCCCTGACCCTTCCTTCTGTGTGTGAGCAGATGTGAGTGCGCGTGTGCACACACACACACACACACACACACACACACACAAGTACATGCACGTGCATCTGTTATTACATGCACACACACACTTGCTCTGAGGACACAGTGAACAATTTCTTTTCCGATCAGCACAATTCCGTCTATTCATGCCCCTTAACCAATCCGACAGAGTCAATTGGAAAGCAGGAAGGATTAGCACCACCGCGGAGCTTTGCTCAGTTTTTTATTGATCCCCCACCTTGTTCCAGATGAGATTTTAGGCAGCTAACAGAGAAGCCGGACAACGCAGCCAGACAGCCTCATTCCTAAATTCCAGCTTCCTCTGTGAGCTGTTTCCCCAGTCCCTTCGCTGCTCCTCCCTTCTCCCACTCCCCACACAGACACCCCTTCCAGCCACACCATCTATCTTTAGTTACCAGAATGATCCCTTGTATTTGCTCTCAGGCCTTTGTGGCTTTGTGTAGGTTCCTTCCTTCTACATGAAATGCCCCTCTGGGGTATTCAAGCAGCACCTCCTCCATGAAGCCATCCCTGATGACCCAGGCTGACCAGGGCTCTCCCCCTCTCACTGGGACACTTACCACCTATGTTTTGTGTCTCCCTCTCATCTGAAGCTCTATGGAAGCAGAGGCCTTATGCTTTCCAAGACACAAGCCCAGGTTATGACATGTGCCTGCCCTCCTCCTCTCTGTACTCCACGACTTGCCACTGAGTCAGCCCCCTGCTCACGGCAGCCCCATACACGATGCAGCAATTGCTACGCAGACTGCATCATCCTTGCAATCAGCTGAGGGTTGGAGTATGCAATCCATAGGCCTTTTATTTTTTCATTGTCATGAAAATAAAGATAACACAACATCTACCCATTTTTCATATATGCAAATTTTGGGGGAGATTGATTAATTCATAGGGTTTTCATTAACTGATATTTTAGGAGCTGAGCACCAGGCCTTTCTTTGTAATCCTTCCTTAATTTGGAAGTGCTGCTGAAACCTCTTCAGCAGCAGAGCAAGGTACCAAATTCCCCCAGCAGACAGATGGCTGTGTGTGAAGTGTACTGTCTGGGAATTGAACCCAGGTCTCCCATATTAGAAGTGAGAATTCTACCACTGGGCTACCATACTATTGTTGTATGTCATTGACTCAATCTCAGTTCATAGCAACATTATACAACTGAGTAGAACTGTCACACAGGGTGTCCTAAGTGGGAATATTTATGGAAACACATTGCCGAGGTCTTTTCTCTCACACAGACACTGGTGGGTTTGAACCGCCAACCTTTCATTTAGTGGTTGAGCACCAAATCATCTTATCACCCAGGTTCATTGCTCTGGTTTATTGTCCCCATCAGCAAGTATTCCTGGAATCTTGGTTGTGTCTATTACTTCCAAGCAAAGCACCAGGACGTGTAGGAGATGCTCCTGACAGTGGGTAACGGGTGGTTTCTCACCTCTGTCTCTAGGACCGCCGTGGAGGCAGCCTCGACATAAATGACGGCCACTGTGGGGCAGGAATGGGCAGCGAGGTGAATGCTGCCCTCATGCACCGGAGACACACAGACCCAGTACAACTCCAAGTGGCAGGGGTATGTTCACATTCCCTCTCCAGGAAAAGACACAGTGTTTAATGGAAAAAGGGAGATGAGGAAGTAGAGGAATGACGGTCTCCCAGAAGAGACCTCAAGCTGCGCAGCAGAAACCAACAGAACAGGGGGCATCTGGGAGTGATGGCAGGAAGGGAGTGCTGGCATCGGGCTGCCCCTAGCACCATCCGGTCTGCTGCTCTCAGTTTGACTGTGAGACCTGGCCCTGCTCTCACATTTCTTGGCTCTAGTTTTGATGAAGAGAAATCTGTTGCCTTAATGGTGCGGTCCATCTTCACTCAGTTGTGCTAACACCCAACGCCTGTGAAATTTGGGCACACTGTCAATCTACTTGTCATGTGGAGAAAATAATAGCATCATTTACTGGTATAAACAGTAGTACCCATTGAGATCTTAGAGAATAACATCTCGGATAAAAATCTTGTGAGCCAAGGACCCTGGTGAGTTCTAAGGACTGAGCATCTTGGTGCTGCTTTAAGTTAGCAAGGCCATCGGCCAGCCTGCAGGAGGGTTGCAGTTGGGAGATTTACCCACGGTGAGAGCACCTCACAGGTCCCCGTCTCTGTGTCACAGGCGCACAGGAGACTCGTCCAGCCCACAGCTCGAGTGAACGTGTTCTTCCTTCCCAACAGCGTGTGCGGTGGGCCCGAGCTCTGTATGACTTCGAGGCGGTGGAGGACGATGAGCTGGGGTTCCGCAGTGGAGAGGTGGTGGAGGTCCTGGATAGCTCCAACCCATCCTGGTGGACTGGCCGGCTGCACAACAGGCTGGGCCTCTTCCCGGCCAACTACGTGGCACCCATGATACGATGAGGCCTTTTGGAAAGACTTGGAAGCTTTCAGTCTGAAGCTGCCAGCAAGAGAGGGTGCGAGGGGGAACACTGGACTATGTACACATGTGTGTGCGCACACAACATTTTATGATAGTAATTTATTGACAATTTGATTGATTGATTGATGAGTTGATGTAAAAAAGACTCAGTGGAGACTTCTGTGTGTGCCATCTCTCTCCTCCCCTGGCTGGGCGTGCAGAAGGCAGTGGGGGAGCTGAGAAGGACAAGGTCAGGGAATTGTTACAGAGGCTCTTCCTGTCGCTACAATCTCACCACTTCCTCCTTGCCTTGTGGACTTGCCTTGAGAGGTTCATGCCCAGGCGTTGGAGGCGGAACTTCAGGGTGGGGTTGGGCTTGGCTGGACAAGTTATGGCTTACCTGCAAGCAAGTCTCCTTGTGGGGGTTATATAAAGGCCACATCCCTCCTCTGCCTGACGAGTGGGCACTGCTGGGGTGGCAGCAAAGGGGTCAAGCAGCCTGGCGAGTCCCAGCTTGGGGCCAGCGATGGGTATGAAGGAGGTGGGAGAAGCCTGTGACTCAAGGCCTTGTCTGGGCAATTGCCTCTGGCCCCCCGTTCACTGCCTGGGGACACTTGTCTCTCTCAGTAGAATGTTCCTTTGTTAATCCTCATGTCTTCTTACCTCTCTAACACGGAGAGGGTGAGCCATCTGGAGGGACTGCTCATCTATCCTCCAGTGAGGTGCCTGGATCGAGCCTCTCTCTCTGCCCAGCTCTGAGGACTGTGGCATCAAGGTTCTGGAACGTTCCTACAGGAAGCCACAATGCTGACCTTCAGAGGTGTCCTTGAGTGTTAACCAGGGTATCTCCTCAGGACTCAGTTGGTTCCCCTTCGTCTGTCTGTGCTCTGAAGATGCCATGTCAACGGCACAGAGAGAAGCTGGCTTCACAGAAACAGCTGCTCACAGCGGATTGACTGGTTCAAGGTGACTCCAGGAGGAAGCTAACGTAGGACTGAACAGCCTGTTTCGTCTGTCAGCATCATTCCCCCAGAAAGACGCCCACTATCACTGTCTCTCATGGCTCCTCAAGTGTGAGGAACAGCAAGGACTTGGGAGAAGGGAGCCTCGGAGCACATACATCTATACTAGGGGCACTTACCCTTCAAAGGAGTCCTGGTGGTATGGTGTTCAAAGCCTTAGATTGCTAACCAACAGATCGGCTGTTCAAACTCACCAGCCACTCCATGTGAGATGTGGCACCCAGCTTCCTGAAGACGACAGGCAGCCTTGGGACCCCCATGAGGCAGTGCTGTTCTGGCCTAGAGAGTCGCTCTGCGTCGGAACCCACTCCAAGGCAATGGGTTTGGATTGGGGTTAGCCATCAAAAGTCACACACTATCCACCCTATGAAGGAAAGGGTGTGTGGGTGTGTTTGCACACGCACGCACACGCATGTGCACAGACAAGCACACACAGGCACAAGGACTTGAAAGGATAGAGTGGAAGTGGTGCTGGGGGCAAGTCAGGGCCTGTTGCTTTGGGTCTCTGCTCAGTCTTTCCTGCTCCTGGCAGGGATGAGGCAGCCATCGCTGAAGGTGTCATGAGAGGAGAAGACAGACTTTCTGATTGCAGAGTAAGTGCCAGTGGAGTGTCAGCCGTGTCCCCTCTGACTCAGGCCCTCGGTCCTCTTTGGCGAATGAGCAAAGAAAGGGAACGGGCGGTGGGGGTGGGGGTGCGGGGGGGCAGGGGAAGGGATGAGCAGCCAGCAGCCTTTGGAAATAAGGGCGGAGAAGGCGAGAGGGAGGCAGCTCAGGCATTTCAAAAGACGGCAGAGCAGAGGGAGAAAGCAGAGCCATGAGAAAGGTCACGTGGGGTGAGCGGGGCGACTGGAGTAGTAAGTTAACCAGCAGATGAAGGATGGAATGAGGGGGAGAGGAAGAATTAGGGCAGTGAGGATGGACGCTGGGAAAGGCAGGGGAGAAAAGAACCCACTCCGGGCTGGGGAATGTGAGAACAGTCCCAGCATCGTTGTTGATTTTACAGTATCAATACATCACAGGCTTTGAACAGCCCACTTCCTTCAGCCATTTGTCTGATTCTGTGGGAGGGCATGTTCTCCCCACCCCCACCCCAGAAGACAGAGGGAAATGATTTGGTTCCTGTACCTCAAAGCCCTTCTCAAGAAAGTTTCAATTAAACAAGTGCTCTTGTTCTATCTGTGTCTGCTGTCTGTGTCGTGCTCACAAGAGGGGCTGAGGACATGGGTGGGGTGGGTGACAGGGGTCATTGGTGACGGCAGGAGTGTGAGCCAAGCTGAGCTTCAGGAACTGGGTGTTTGTACCACCAAGACTGCCGTGAGGGTGTTTTTATTGCGGTGTTAAAGTGCCTTGCTTCTGCTAATCCAGATAGCTGCACCTCAGAAGGGGTGCAGAGCCCAAAGGCTGTGGGATTCTTGGGGACCAAGCTAAGCAAGTGAGGAGCACCCTGTCCGCTCTGGGAGGGGGAAAGTGACCTCCACTCTCTTGGCCTCTGATGCTGGAGGGGGGAGCAGCCAGGGAGCTGTGCCCACCCCCCCACCAGCTGTTCCCACCGGACAGCTGCACTGTGGTATCTCTAGGCAGCCACGCAACCAGCCACAGAGCAGTTCGGCCGAAATGTTCTGTGTGACTTGGAATCAGGGACAGTCAGTTCCTGCTGGGTTTTCCTAGTCACTTGCTGAGGCTCGCTGCCTTTCAAACATCTGGCACCTCGACTGCCCACCCACTTCTCTATCACCTTGGGGTAATCTAAGGCGAAGGCACTTCCCACGGTACAATGCTCCCGAGAATTACGTGGGATCGGTGGTAAAATCTGCTTCTGATTTGGTCCTGCGTTCCTAACTAATTCTCAGACGATGCGGCTGGTCTGTGGACCACACTTTGCTTGGGCAAGGAATTTGGCAGCGAGTTAAATATCTCTTATAAAAATGAAAGTTGGATCCCTTTTCTAGAGCTCTTGAGGTTTTTTTTGTTATTGTCAAAGAACTTACTTTGGCTGTGTGACATCATTTTCTGTCCAGCTATGTAGGTGCCTTATCCCAGGGTCTTCACCTGCACCAGCAATCCACTTGTCTTTATATATCTAACCCGCCCCAGCGGCATGCTGGCAGTGGTGACTCTGGACAAGGCAAGGACACTGGGCTGTTTCCATGTTCTTGCTGTAGTGAATAACACTGATATCAACATTCGTGTACAAGAACTGTTTGTGCCTCTGTCCTCATTTTCTCAGGGTGTGGAATTCACTTTCTTACAGTGAGAGGCATTCTCATGAAATACACACCGCCATTTCCTAATAGTAATTCTTTTACACATGAGCAGAGGCTATAGAAGTCGAGAAAGCTTTCTCAGAAAAGCTTTAAACATGACATTGATGTTTGTCCTGTGTGGCTCTGCCTGGAACACGAGGGATGGCCGATGTGACACTATGAGACCTTGGTTAGCCCCCAGAGTCATAGCCCCCTGCTGCCAAGTCAGCTCTGACTCATAGTGACCAGCGGGGGTCCGAGGCTGTCCATGTTAAGTCCAGCAGACTGCCTCATCTCTCTCCCACGGAGCAGCTGGTGAGTCGAAAGTGCCTCCCTTTCGATTGGCAGTCAGTCCAACACAAACTACTCCACCAAACTCACTGTAGACTCCTGATGATCCTTTTCTGGGTTTCAGGGCTGTGAATCTCAGTGGGAGCAAACAGCTGCATCTACCTTCTGGTGCATTTGAACTGCCAACCTTTTGGTTGGTAGCAGCACTACCATGGAAGGCACTACCCCACTAGCACTCCTTAAAGAAGTCCTTAAAGAAGCTCTTCAGCAAATAACTCACAGGGAGACGGACTGACATGGCCAAGTTACGCTCCCTCCTTTGCCTTGTCCAAAGTCTACCCCCAGCTGACTCCACCACAGGGCGTGAGAGCAGTATGTATTGTCCTGTTGGTTTGCCTTTATTTTCTCTTCTGTTGCCTCTGTTCTTTACGGGGGAGCTCTGGTGACATTGGCCATAGGGAGCTGCTTGCTGACCCGGAGGCCCCACTTCTCTCTCCTGGTTTGAATCCACTCCTGGTTTGAAGTTCTGCAGTTCATCTCCTCCCATGCAATTTACAGCCTTGAACACCCAGCGCAGGCTCAGCTCTGAGTCAGTTGCAGCTTGACCACGATAAGCATGTGGTCCTTCCTGTGAGGTAGCCTGCAAGTGCGGTGGTTAAAGCACTAGGCTGTTCACCAAAGGCTTTTCGTCAGTAGCTCCTTGAGAGAAAGAAGAGGAAGCCTTGATAAAGGTTTATGGTCTTACAGACCCTCAGGGCCAGTCCTCGCTGTCCTGTAGGATCGTTCCATGGCAGTGCTGGTTTGTATGGCAGTGCTGGTTTGTTTGGGGGGATTTTATTTTTGTTCTTCTTTTTTTATTATTTTTTTTTTATTATTTTGTGTGTGTGTGTACCGTCAAACCAGATCCGACTGGTACAGGAGGAGACTGCCCCTCCTCCTTCTCCAGCAGAGCATCTGGTGGATTTGAACCGTGTGCATCTGGGATTGCAGTGCAACTTCTTGCCACTAGGCCACCAGAGCTCCCTTGTTCTTCTTTTAAGATATGTCTCAAGTTCCTCTGCTTCTCCCCCTCAGTGTGGCCACAACACCATTCCTCTCTGATGACTTATTCACATCCACACTTTTCTCCCTGCCCCATCTTGTCCTTTAATGAATCTACTTATTTTTAAAGTTTATAGTAGGACAGTTTAACCAAAAACCCAATTTTAATCATTTTTTAAGTATACATTTCAGCGGCATCAGTCATACTCACCACATTGTGTAGCCATCACCACTATTTCCAGAATCTTTTGGTTAGCAGCTGAACGCTTTAACCACAACACTACCAGGTTGACTCACAAGAAGAATCAGGTGCTTATCCACTCATTGTGGTTGGGTTGGAACAGACTCACAGCTGACCCTCCACGGGATTTCAAGGCTGTAAATTGAAACGCACCATCCCACACA